TACCAGTCTGTAACCAGCATCCCTTTCAGTGCAGCAATGAGACATTTTTAATATGATTAATAAATGTTTTAATAATAACACTTTATAAAGATTCAACTCTTCTAATCAATGAATGTGTGTAATAGGTTTAATAGTTATTATGTGGTGCGTGTGCCTGTTTGTGCGTGGGATAAATTACACTGAAAATATTAAATATGTTAAAATAGACACAAATAAATAATACATTTGAGCAAACAGTACAAATATTTTAAGCTAACCCTGGTCAAAAAAGCCTAAAATAAGTCTCTAAAGGGACCAGAAGTCATGACTGTATAGAAGAATGATGGGTTCATAAATTTATAGAGAGCTAACTCCATATTCTCAATAAACCTGAAGAAATGGAATCTTTACTTATATTATATTTAACTGTCTGGTTATATATATTTTGAGGAAATTATGTCTTTAATCTGATTTCTAAATAATTTGTTTTAATGGCCAGTGTTCTCTCAGGTCTAAAAAGATGTCAGAATTTCTGCATTGCCATAAAGGTTCCCTTTACAATACAAATTTTGTTGCTGTTGCTTTTCTTCTACTTTATCATCATTTTCTGCTCAGTGCCTTCATATTTGAAGCCACTTCTTAGACAAAGATTAGACGAATTCTAAGCAAGGTATTTTACAACATGGAATAATCTTCTCTACATTGTTTGTTTTAAATATAGCATATCTTATAAAATGTCCATAATCTGTCATAATTCCAATTATCAGGAACATTTCGCTTCAGATAAATTTATAAATTCTAAAAATTCTTTACTAGCCTCTGAAATATTGTTTAAACTCTGGCAGTTCAGATTTACCATCGACATAAAGATCAAAGATCAAATTCTGAAACAAGTGCAACAATTTAAATACCTGGGAAGCATCTTTACACACAATGGTAAAATAGACAGAGAGATAGAAACGAGAATTCAACAAGCCAACAATATCATGTACCAACTTGCTCCAGTTTTAAAACACCCTGCTATCCAAATAGAGACAAAAAGACAAATTATAAATAGAATATTTATACTGACTTTAGGTTATCAGTGTCAGACTTGGACATTGACAAAAGAACATGAAAGAAAACTAACCACATGTGAGATGAGATGTTTGAGAATGACTATGAATACAATCAGAAGAGATTGAGTGAGAATTTACCTGATCACAAGAATTGTTGGAACAACACCCATTGTCAAATTTATTTAGAAACAAAGAATGAAATGGTTTGGCCATTTAATGAGAATTAAACCAACGATGCCAACAGCAAGAACCTACAACCTGAAAATCGAAACAACAAGAGGCGGGGAAGACCAAGAAGAACATGGACTGAAAGAGTCACTGACACCTTGAGTCTGCATAACATCAAGGCATATCAAGCGACTGAGCGCCCTGGCTGGGCTACCAATCATCTGATGAACTGCAATGCCTAGCGGCATAAGCAGATATTGAAAAAAGAAAGAAGAAGAAGTTCAGAATTAACAAAGATAATAGATAAATAAATACACAGATTATGTTTACCTCAGGAAACAAACAATAGAAAGTAAAGCAACTGGTGCATAATCAAAAATCTAACAACAACATAACCCTGCAAACATCAGACAAATGCCTGACACCAATAACAAAACCACAAGAGTTGAAGAATAAAAGAGAAAGTAGACAGATTCTGACTAGGGCTCTCATCAAAACACCTAAAATGTTAAGCTGGAATAGAAGTGAAGACCATGTAGTGCAGATCTGATATAAGAATCTCATATTAAACCTAAAAGTACAACTAATATGCCTTGAAAAACATCAAAGTATAAATAACTTGTGAGCAGACAGACTCAAAAGAACAAACATTATCAAGCAAGCAACTAAAAAATCAAGAATAACTCAACTGGTGAGTACAGTATTAACAAACAGAATACCTTTATTTTTTTTAAACCATTTTTAAAAAAGCAAAAATTTTAAACAACAATAATTTAAAAATTTGTTGTTGTTTTTTTAATGCATAACTAATGCATTAAAAAAGAGAAAAATAATTTCTCATATAGTTAATTGGAAACAAATGACTGAATAATAAATACTCTATAAAATTCATTTACAGAACAAAATGTCAATGATTACTTAACATCTTTACACTTAACAGATTTTGAATTTGGGCGTCCCATGCTATTATTATTTGTCACATAAAATTGTATACGATTTTTGTAAAGATAGTTATCTAATAATTTGTTTCCTATAAAATATACAACTAATTATTTTTCTCTGTTTAGTAATTAATAATGTGATGCAATTGTTTAAAAGCTGGTTTTATTTTGTTAATTTTTTTATATTTTCAACTTCTTTTTTTTTACACATAAATTAAATTAGTCTATTTAAAGTCATTTTTCTAGAAGCAATAATTACTTCTTTACTGCCAACAATAATGTTATTATTTACAACATTACGGTAAAATACACTTGAAACGTCACAAAAGTTTACAGAGAACAATAATGGTGGGGTATATGCCTGGGAAGAGAGGAAGAGGAAGGCCAAAGAGAAGTTGGGTGCAGGATGTGGCAGATGATCTCCAGATGGGTGTATCAGACGCGGAACATCTTGCTTATGATTGAGTTTTTCTAAAGGTTGTTATGGGAGCAAGGTTCTGCAAAGGACAGGCCAGGACATAAAAATGTATGTATTATTATATTTGATATAAAATTGCACGTTTGTAATATTTAACTATCCTGAACAAAGTGCTCATATCCTCTCCAGTTTTGATAATGCACCATTATTTCACTGTTGTTGTTTTGGTAACGGGAGATGATGCTTCAGAAATTCAAAACAATATTTTCCCAATGTTAAAAGTTAGTTGCGGATCATTTACAGGACATTGCAGAACCAACCCCCAGCATTTTTTTTTTTTTTGGTGGTTATTGTGGTTTTTCTAATCAAATTTTCCGCTCAGTAGTTTTCCATTGCTTGCTGAACAGTCAGCTCTTGGTACCATGGTCGAAACCAATGCTAGACAAATCGTCCACAGCTGGGATCAAACCCGCTACCATGGCATTACGAAGCTTGTTCGCACTGCTTGCCACAAAAGCTTAAATTTTCCCACTGTATATTTTAACAGCCCTCAGAGTAGCTGGTGAAACATTGGATTGGTTCAAGGTGCAAAAGGGAGTGAGGCAGGGGTGCATTCTCTCACCATACCTATTCAATATATACACAGAAAATAAAATGAGAAATGTCAAAAATTACCAGACTTGTGACAGTTATGATCCCCACAAAATTGGTGGCAACCCTATTCTGGAACTTAGCTACGCAGATGACACATTCCTCCTTCGAACAGCGAAAAGGGAATAGAAAATTGAATATTGTCTATCAAAAAAGCACAGTGAAGATCAAAATCTGTTCTTGAATTTAGAGAAAATGAAAATAATGTCCATAGATAAAACTGGCTGCCACCCAAAAATAACAATAAATGATGAAGACATTGAAAATGTCACAAACTTTGAATATCTAGGCTCTATAATAAATAGCAATGGAGACTGTTTGACAGAAATTAAAAGAAATATTGCCATAGCACTTTTTGTTGCTTTTACTTCTTTATGTGATGTTTTAACTCTGCATTATTGCACTTGATGAGATACAGCAAAATATTCAAAGCAATAAATTGTACAACGATTTCTCCGAGTCCACATTATTTAAAATTATGTTTTGTAACAGTTGGAAACATAAGCACTAGATCTAGATACAAAGATTAGAAAGAAACTAGATGCCACAGTGACATGGATTTTACTGTAAAATACTGAGAAGCTAAGCAAACTAACATAATAAAGGATATGAATACCTCTCAAACTCAAGAAACAAATGCTAGAATCAGTGCTTATAACTGAAGAATTGTGCAATTTTAATGTGTAAATAAAACACGATTTATAGGTAATATACAAAGAGGAACATGGGAGGTTACAAACAATTAATTCTTCTTCTGCCTTTCTATGATCCATTGAAGCACAGGCCCTCTACCAACCCAAGCCAAGCCATTCCATCCTTGGCTATCACATGCAGCTCTCCCCATCTTTTTGACTTCACTCTCTAGCTCCATTCTCCATGTGTTTTTTGGACTTCCTTTATTTCTACGCTGATTAAGGTTCTAGTGCAAAAACATTCTAGTTTTTTGTTGTCAGGTTTTCTCAATGTATGTCCTATACAAAGCTAGCGTCTTTACTGCACCTCTTAGTCCATTGGAACTTGTTTTGTTCTCTCCCAAAGCATTACATTAGTGATTCTTTAATACCATTTCATTTTCTCTATTCTGCGCAGGCACGAGTTAATGAATGTTCTCCATGTTTCTGCTCCATACAACACTACTGATTTGATGTTAAAATAAAAATTTCCAGTTTAGTATTACTTTTTTTTTTTTACCTCAATAAATTCCCTAGCACTATGAAAGCTCCTCTTGTATGGTAATATTTCTATCAGTTCCCCCATTTTTTCAACATTACTGTCCAAATAGATGTATGACTCTACGTCTTGGAGTGGGATACCATTAAGAGAAACCATATTACTATTTGCCTGATTTATTCCCATTATCTTTGACTTTCCTTTATGGATTTTCAGACCTAGCTTTTTGTGATCTCACATCAAGTATATTTAATTTGTCTTGCATCTGATTCCGTGAATGGTACAGAAGAGAAATATCATCAGCGAAGTCCAGATCATCAAGCTGTTTTGTAAGGGTCCACTAAATTCCACTCTTGGTGTTAGCAGTTGCTGTCTTCACAATCCAGTCTATTGCCAGTGAGTCAGCGTGCATTTGAGAAGTCTGCAACTGACTAGTGCCAAGAGACTGTTTGAAAACAGGATCACGGCACTTGGCTTCCTGCATTTACAATCAGAAAGGGAATAAAACTTATAAATGCCATTTACCAATAATTAAAAATAAACGAGATACACACACACAAAACAAGTCCATTCAGCCTAATCAGTTCACTGAAACAAAGCAAATACAAATGTTACCTGAAATCAAAACCAACCCATTTCCTCCTCACTGCATCTACATCAATAGTAACACTTAAGAACTCCTTGTCACATGCAGTAAGGCTAGCATTGGTAAGGACAGTAATATTGTATGTAGTTGCATTTGGGGTTTGTGTTTGCTTAATTTCAAAATACTCCACAGCATCTAATACCAAGGCATAGCTACTCCAAACCAGAATCAATAAAAGATACACAGCCATTATCCTTTTCCCAGTCATCATACAAGGGTTTTCAACTATCAGTTGGTGCGACATAAATCTGAAAAAGAAACAAAATGAACAATTCAATAAACATAAAATTATAAAAGATTATGAAAGCCCTGTGAACATCATGTGTTTCTTGGTTTCAACTGACATAATATATTTTTCTGAACTCATTGTGTCTCGTTCGGTTATTACACTCATCAACTATGTCCATATTTATTATAAATTTTTTTTTTAAATCCATTATGTTACAGATGCTATTATGTCAACTCCTCAATCTCAAACTGGTTACTAAAAACAATGATCTGACTTTATCTAATAATTAACATAATCTAACAGCTGGATTATATCCACCATATTATACCCATTGGCACCAAAACAAGTTATGTCCATCTTCCTCCATAGTTTCTTCCCAGAATGACCCAAAGCTAATCCTCTGTCTGGGGCTCATTAGCCTTTTGTGTATCACATGCCGTTTACAGGTTCTGTCCCCTCATGGTACTACAATATCTTGACCCTAAACCTCAAAATGGGTCATGACAAAGGGTGTGGACAGGTGTGATTCCCACCACACAACACGGATTATAAGAAGAACTGAATGGTATACTTCTTGTTCATCTTTGGGAAATGATGAAGTTACCAGACAAGAGGAAAAGACTAAATGGACTGGACACTGTGTATGTTATAAATGAGTTTAAAGTTGGAAACTAATAAATGCAAGCAGAGTAGTCAGTGGATGCTGACTCTGATATCTCTAAACATAATTTAGTTAACTTTTGTGTTTTTCCATATAATTGATGTTTGTTGAAACATAGCTTCAGATGGAATATAAATTATATTAACATTTCTATTAGCTCAATAATGAAATTTACATAGTGATATCCTATGAGTATATTTATAGCTTTTCAAAAAGTGGACAATTATTGGATACCCATGCCTCTTCGATGCGAACGCTTCGTAATGCCAGGGTACCGAGTTAGATCCCAGTTGCAGGCCATGCGCCTTGCGTTGGTTTTGACAGTGGTATCAAGAAGCCAACCGACCAGAAAGCAATGGCAAACTACTGGACGTAAATTTGCCTAGAGAAACCACACGACAGCCAGGGGCTGCTGGGTTTGGTTCTGCAACGTCCTGTAAAGGATACGCAACTAACCAACCATGCCTCCTGTTCAAACATTAACATTATAGTCCAGATCACCCTTGACAGAAGCTGCAGAGAGCAGATTCCTGGAATAGATACTTTGGTCAAAACATTGATTGATGGAAACACAGATAACAGTGATGTAGTTCACAGAGATGGATCAGTGATTAGGTGCAGTGTAAAATACATGGGCATTCACAGTAAGCATACAGGGAAAAACCATCGAGAAGATAAACAGTGCCTTCGCTGTTACAGCTAGTAGCCCCACAATGAAAACTGTGGCTGTAACAAGGGCATTAGCATGGCTTGGTACCCAAGAGTTCACACACAAATGCATACTCAGTGACTCAATGAATATGCTTATGAGAATCTAAGTTGGTTTCTTCAGACAAGAATGGATTGCAATACTAGGCACTTCCTGAATGGCTGGCCTAACCTTTATCTTTGAGGCAGGTCATGCGAGTGTTTGAGGCATTGAGAGTGCACAATATCTTACAGACACTGTGGTTGCTATGGCTAGTCTAGTACTGGAAAGAACCGATGTTATCAATACCATGTGCAGCACCTGCCGTGAAGATGAACACCACAAAGAGCATGACTGTATCCATGCCTAAGCTGATGGACAGAGGGATGCAACAAGGAGCTGCAACAAATAAATATTTCACCAAGGGGACAAGATGTTTGATTATATAGCAGAGAACAGGAATCCTCAGTCATTATACATCTGTAGAACTTTTGAGGAGATTAAGCACCTATGGATCTGTCAGGAGTGCTGTGATGATAGTACTCACTAATCACTTACAGTATTTAGTGTTTACGCGATGATGTAATTTAAACCTTGCTTGCAATTCTCTTTGGATATTTGTCTTTAGCAAGTCTTTTATTTCCACAGGCTTATGGCGGCGGCTCATTTATTCAGACAGTAGTTATCTTTTAAAGTTTGTGTTACCAACTAGTAAAAAATGTTGAATATTATGCTTTCTTATGTTCATCTTAGTTCTCTTTTTTATTAAACTTAACCACTCTAAGTTGTAGCATCAGCTATTGCTTATTGCAGGTAATTCTAAGTAAACTGGCTACTTTACATATTCTAGAATGCTGAATGTGAAATTAAGAATCAACATCACTGCACTCAGGACATTCCCATAAGAGTAAATGCAGAGTTCTAATTCTGATGGCACCAGTAACAGTCTGATTGTGTATCCATCTCACCTTTTCCTTGAGTGCTGAGTGTCAGCCAGATGCCCTGGTAACTCCACAAAGCACCATTCTCCGCAATGTTTGCTCTCTCTCAACAGGCCCTTAAAACATTTAGCTTGTCAAACATCAATTCACCACCAAGCGGTGCCGAACCAGCCAGTTTATTTGCCTGTTCATTTCCCAACACATCAGCATAGCCTGGTGAAAATATTCAAAGGATGAGACCAACCATCTAGGACCTCTAAAGTGATGCTTGGCACTCTACATTGAGCATGCCTGTCTCCACCTTCCTCACATGCTCTGTGAGCCAGTTACAATAATAAAATGTGTGTACAGCTGGTTCTCAAGAAGCAGAAGACTGCAGTGACTACCTCCAACTTCATTCTCAAACTAAAAATTGTTGTCTCATATGCCACGCTTTGTAGCACTAAGTGACATACATTTGCTTTTGCTATAAATCCCATACACTTCTTCTGCCTCTCTCAACACAGAACTATAATTATAGATAATCATATCACCTGAGCGGTAACTGTCATAAATAAATATTTTTAACTTCCCAGTCCCTGCACTCACGACCTAACATGATAAGAACCCTATACAATCTCAATGTTGCTCGCAAATTGATGACAAAAATACATGTTGTTTTAAATATTGAATTTGTTTTTTATTTTCCCTTGGAAATAAATATTTTATTTCCAACTTATTATCTTCTCCTGTAGAATCATTTATCTAATTAGTGGTAGATACTGTTTGTTAGTTTTTAGCTGTAATAGACTGCTGACTCCATCATTCAATATTTCTTAAATGGATTCCATATTCATCATTGTGTAGCAGGTCTTTTGCAGAACGTCCCTCTCATCACAGTCTGCCTGAAAGAAACTTGGTCTCTAGCCAGTTCTCCTGCCTCATGCACTTTCACATTCAATGAGTCACTTATATCTTATGCCCATCTTCGTGTCGGTCGGCCCCTGCCCCTCCTTCCTGCTACCATGCCTTCTGCTATAATTTTTTTTCAATCCGCCATGGCGCTTGATATGACCAAAATATTTCAGCTTTCGAGAAAGGATGCCGTTTATTAGCCAATCTTTTTGATGTTCAGATCTTTTAAGATGTCAATATTTCTCATCTTCTTTGTCCAAGATATTCTGAGAATCTTTCTATAACATTTCAGCTCAAAAGCCCCTATTCACTTTCTTAAGGACTGAGAGATAGTCCACTACTCACATCCGTATGTAGCCACAGGGAAGATGCATTCTCTCAAAATTCTAATATTTATCTCTTTGCTGGTGCTTAGCCATAGACTTTTAAGGCTGTTCAATCTTTGCATTGCTATGGCCATACTCTTTTTAATTTCTGTCGAACAATTTTCATTGTTGTTTATTATAGAGCCTAGATATTCAAAGTTTGTGACATTTTCAATTTCTTCATCATTTATTATTATTTTTGGGTGACAGCAAGTTTTATCTGCGGACATTATTTTCGTTTTCTTTAAATTCAAGAACAGATTTGGATCTTTACTGTGCTTTTAGACAGACAATATTAAATTTTCTATTCCCTGTACGCTGTTCAAAAGGAGGACTGTGTCATCTGCGTAGCGGAGTTCCAGAATAGGGTTGCCACCAATTTTGAGCGGATCATAACTGTCACAAGTCTGGTCATTTTTGACATTTCTCATTATATTTTCTGTGTATATATTAAATAGGTATGGTGAGAGAATGCACCCCCTGCCTCACCCCCTTTTGCACTTCGAACCAATCAGATGTTTCACCAGCTGCTCTGATGGCTGCTTGTTGTTCATGATGAAGATTTTTAATTAAATGCACTAAATGTGCTGGAAACCCCATACTTTTCATAATAGTCTACAGTTTGTGGTGTTGGACACAATCAAATGCCTTGCTATAATCAATAAAACAAGCATGAAGATTTACGTTGCATTCTCTGCATTTTTCAAAAAAGCTCATATTGTAATTTCCTTTCAATCCTTTTCATGATCATTCGTAAAAGGATTTTGTTAGCATGACTTATTAATGCGATGGTACGGTAGTTGGAGCATAGCTTTGGATTTTTTCTTTCTTTGGGAGAGGGATACATACTGTTTTTTTCTACGCTTTAGGCTAAATGCCACTGTTCCAGATCTTCGAGCACAGTGCATGGTAGATTCGGACGCTGGCCTCTCCTCCTGATTGAATTAGTTCTGCTGGTATTTCTTTGCAACCTGGTGACTTTCCTTTCTTTAGGCTGTGTATTGCTGATCGTACCTCATCCAGTAAAGGCTCTGGTTCTTTTTCATAACTTTCACAAGTCGTTTTTGAATTACTTGTCACATCCTCATACATTTATCTTCAGTATTCTTTCCATCTTTCTAATATGTCTTTGGTTTCCGTTAATGTGTTACCGTTTTTATCACTTATGACATGTAAAGAAGGCTTGAATTCGCATTTCAATGTTTTAATTTCTGTAAACATGTCTCTGTGTCTTCCTTGCATCTGGAGTTGTTCAATTATATTACTGGTATTTATAATAAACTGTTGTTTATCCTCTGATTTCTTTCGTGGAGTTCCTATATGCATGCCTTTTTTTTCTGTCCCTACTTGCTTTAAATTTCTTCTTTCTTCTATCAGCTTGAAAGTTTTTTCTGTAATGTAAATCTGTTTCTTGTGTGGTTTTTTAGGAATCA